AAAAAAGCCGGTTGAAATCACAAGTACATCGGGCGGGCATCTATAGTCTAGTTAGTAAAATAATCCTATTTTCCATTAACAGAAGAGGAACTGGAAACTCGAAAGATTGGATGAGAAGAAATACCTGAGGCTTAATCACTTCCTGAACAGTCTGCAAAGCAAAACTTTCAGGTGGGCCAGGCTGCAGTATGGCCCTTTTAAAGACGTCCTGAAAGTAACAAAATGAGAAGGCATAATTGCACTATATTGAAAACAGAATAAATGATAGGAAGGTTCCACACAAATTTGGCCCTGCGAAGTGCATATATTTAATTTGACCACAATGTATCACTCAATAGGCGAAATCGAATACACAGGCATTATTTTCTACCGAGAGAAATAGAAGAAAAAGAAAGAAAAACTTACCATACTAGAGATTCAAAGTCAATTCTCTTCAGCAGAGAAGAACCAACGATATGCTCAAAAGCTTCTCACTTCCCAGGAGCAGAGCTCCCAAATTCTAATTCAGAGAGAGGGCGGGAGCTATCACAAGCAAATCAAATATGCTAAAAACCCAGGCCCAAAAATAAGAAAAAGCATCTAAGTTTTCTCAGCAAACCAAACCAAGCATACAACGATAAAATAGGGTTTCTCTTTGCCAACGAAAATCAGAAGTGGTGTTTCGGAGCTCTAGAGGCGAAAGCAACCAAATTGGAGAAAAAGAAGAAAGAAAGGCGAGAGCTTGAAGGGAATGGGAGATTAAGATAATACGGAAGCGATGTAATGACAGGATGAAGTGGACTTTCAAACAGGCGAGCAGGAAAATTGTTCACAACCTTGGGAGTCCCAGTCTGAGTCTCACTGCAGTGATTTGCGGTTGCAAGGAGGAAGAAGGCTGGTGCAAATGATGAAATAAAGACTACCCCGTTACTGTAATTTGTGATTATTTTCTGGAGATTAAAGATGTTTTTCCCTTAAACTATTTACTAGATAACAAGTAAATATAATGTTTTTCAGCTCCAAAAAAAAAATTCTGTTTTTAATATAAATTTATTTAACTAATTTTTTAATATAAAACTTATTTAACTAATTTGATTGGATTAAGAAAATTGGTAAGTTAATTAATTATAAGAAATATGACATATTTTTTTAAAACATCATAACTATTTTTCCTAATATCCTTTCTTCCTCTTCTATTTAATTACAGTTCAAGAGACATCTATAACAGTAATTTAGAAAAAATTAATAAATATAAAAAATAAGTCATATATTTAAGACTAAAATTAATTTAACAATTAGGTTTTATATTAAAAATCGAAAGAGCATGTATATATATATAATGCTGCTGTTAATTTTATTAGAAAAACTGCAATACTCCTGTCATTAAATATATAAACAACATTATCAAAAAGTTATTGATTCAGATGGCAAGCCGTCTCATTCCTGACACAAAAATGAACATGAGTTTGAATCTTGAATTTTTTAACTTCTGTACATGATGAAAATACGAATAATAATTATTTTTACTCTAAATCTATCATTCATGCAAATCAAATTAAAATCTAGGCGATAACCTGTTTTATTTTAAATTCCTTATCCTGTATGTACATAATTAAATTTATTTACGGCTCCCCCGGCCTTCTCAAGTGTCAGTTATCAAATCCACACTACCATGTGCCAAGGAGGCCATAAGATGATAGCGTTGGCTTTGGGTTATGAATTGCACGGTCCATGAGGCAGCCCGAGGTCAACATTGCGACTTCAAACTTTCTTTGGATGATAAAAATTAAAAGTAAACTTATATACAAAATGATTAAAAAATATGAGTTTATTAAATACAATATATAAATATATTTTTGCTCAAAAAAATATATAAATATATTTAATACTACTTTTAGTCCTAATTATTAGACCTTATTTGTCATCTACAAATGGGATCTTATAAATAGGGCCGGATGTAGTATTTGACTGAATTTATCTTGGGGTGTCTATATATATATATTATAATTGTAATTTGATAGCTTTTAAAAATATTAAAATTCCAATTATAAAATGAAAAGAGTTCATGTACTATTGGAAAATTGTTAAATACTAACAAACAATTAATTAGATATATTTAATGTCATTTTTGCATACACGGCTATTGAGTTTTTTTTTTTCCCGGGCAGATCTTTAGAGCTTAGCTGAAAAGTAATAATAGAGAGCAATTCGGCTTGGAAGGGACTCTTATAGTTAAATTTTATTAGTTAATTTTTTTTCCTTCTTAATGCATCTCTGTAAACATCAACCTATTGGGTCCTCAAAATAATTTTATTATTTTTTATCAAAGCAAGTGGGACGAACTCCATTGTCATTTTTTCTTTTTGTTACCCTGTATCACAATAATCACTTATCTCTATGGAAGGGTACCATTCTTCTCATTAATCTTACATGGAGGAAGAAAAATATTGCCTTACACTAGAAGTGTCTCAAATCCTCTCAATGCTGCACAAGAGATAAAGAATTTATTATCCTTCTCTGATTTAGCTTTTAGTCATGATTAGATTAATTCACATCTGGCTTCTAGTAACTATGTGCTAGGACTGTTCACGGGATAGATCGGGACCGGGACAGACCTATCTCGGTTCTGTCCTGATGAACAGTAATGAGACAGAAAATCTGTTCCGTGTCCCGGCCCGTCCCGGTATTGTCTCGGTCCCGGTCGGGATGGGACCGGGACGTCCAGAAGTTTTTTTTTGTTAATTTTTTTTAATAAAATCTGATTTTTTTTAATTATTTTTTTTGGGCTTAGACCTTATAAAAACATCTTTTTATTTTTTTTTATTTGTTTGGGCACTCTTAAACAAAAGCCCAAGATATTACATATAATAGTCATTAAAAACTCTAAACAAAAGCTTTTAACACAATAAAAACTTGCTAAAAATTCTAATCATCAACAAATATAAAAACTCTAATTAAACTATTTACTAGATAACAAGTAAATATAATGTTTTTCAGCTCCAAAAAAAAAAAATTCTGTTTTTAATATAAAATTTATTTAACTAATTTTTTTAATATAAAACTTATTTAACTAATTTGATTGGATTAAGAAAATTGGTAAGTTAATTAATTATAAGAAATATGACATATTTTTTTTAAAACATCATAACTATTTTTCCTAATATCCTTTCTTCCTCTTCTATTTAATTACAGTTCAAGAGACATCTATAACAGTAATTTAGAAAAAATTAATAAATATAAAAAATAAGTCATATATTTAAGACCAAAATTAATTTAACAATTAGGTTTTATATTAAAAATCGAAAGAGCATGTATATATATATAATGCTGCTGTTAATTTTATTAGAAAAACTGCAATACTCCTGTCATTAAATATATAAACAACATTATCAAAAAGTTATTGATTCAGATGGCAAGCCGTCTCATTCCTGACACAAAAATGAACATGAGTTTGAATCTTGAATTTTTTAACTTCTGTACATGATGAAAATACGAATAATAATTATTTTTACTCTAAATCTATCATTCATGCAAATCAAATTAAAATCTAGGCGATAACCTGTTTTATTTTAAATTCCTTATCCTGTATGTACATAATTAAATTTATTTACGGCTCCCCCGGCCTTCTCAAGTGTCAGTTATCAAATCCACACTACCATAGTTCCATATAATAGTCTCAAATCTTAAAAAAATATGAAAAATGATATTATATAAATAGAATAAAAAATTTAAAAAAATTTTAAAAAAAAGAACCAGGACGGGATGACCCCATCCCATGTCCTGTCTCGTCTCGTCTCTTTTTCGTCCTGTCCCAAAAAATTTTGGGACGGGTCGTCCCGTCCCAATAAGACTGGGACCGGAACAGGCCGACCGGGATGGACCGGCCTTGAACACCCCTACTATGTACTGCATCCGAACCTAGTCATTGATACTAATGATTGGATCATACTGCTACATATAGCCAAAAGCAAGAAGTGTGTTCTTCTTTGTTATTCTTGGGTGTGTTTTCAAGATCAATCTCTCTAATATTTTTTATGGACCTGAAGACAGAAAAAATGATAATCTATTCAATTGTAAGTATTTTCGTTCCACTCTTTCATGAATCATTAAACCCCTCTTATTTTCTAGTGAATCCCTATCACTACAACTCTTGGTGTCACTTGAGCAATTTGCTCAAGTGGCTAATCAAAGGATAGGCATAGGAAATGCTGTCTTGGAAGATACTTTGGCCTTTCTCCCTTTATTTACTAGTTTCGATACAGTAGTGGTTATTTCCTCCTCATTGAAGCTGCTAATTTATTTTCCTTGTTTCTTTTGACATTTTCTTTACGATGTACTTTATCTTTGGGTTTTAGTGTTATTTGGCCTTTTTACTTTTTATTTTAAAAAAAAGTGCTTATATTCCCCTAATAAATGTGAGAAAGGTTAATACTCGAAGACATATAACCTTTTTTTGTAAAAGTTGTTATTATTTTTTTCCGTGATAAAATCCAAATTTTCATGTAGGTGAAATTGAAATCTTCTTATCCTTGTCTCTTTTGCAAATGAAAGTTACCTCAGCATTTTTGCATCTTTAAAACACATCAATGAAATTTACCTCAACAATTTTGCATCTTTAAAACACATCAATGTTATCATACACAAATTTGTTGAAGGGTATTCTCGTTCAATTCTAATTAGTGGTACCCTGCAAAAGGATATTTATTCATTGTTTCAATTTTTTACCCAGTGATTCTCTCTATAAAACTAATGTTTTATTAATTCTTCATTCCTCTAGGTTCTATTATACTAATATAATTTTCTCATTTTATGTAATTCATCCTTTCTATTTAAATATTTGTAATATACTATCTCATGTCTTTAATATAAAAGTTAGTTGACTAATTTGAGTAAATTAAGGAAATTTGGTAACTTAATTATTTGTAATAAATAGGTGTTATCTTTCCTAAAATATCCTTATTAATTAAGTGTATTGGCTAGAAATATTTTTTTTATATATATATATAATAAAAGACTCCTCATCAACATTCTGCATGACCGCTTATGGTAATATTACGATCCGAATCCAGGATGGGAACCAACCCAAGGGGAGCTATAGAAATAAAATGAAAACCACGCAGAGCATCCAGTCCTGCTTTTGCTAAATAATCCGCAGCTTTGTTGGCCTCTCGATTCACGTACTCAATTCTAACACTCCAGCCCCTGTTAAGAAGAACTCTAACTTCTTTAAGAACATTGAAGTCAGCATGGCTCTCATCCAATTCCAAGTTAAGTAACTCAATGGCGTTTGTCGCATCAGATTCCAGAATTACTTGACGGTGGCCATCGGCCCACAGCTCTGCTGTCAGTGCGTCCCCTTCATCAAGTCTATAAATGAAGCCCTGAAGAAATTCTCCATCTCGGTTTCGAATCAATCCTTCACGTCGAGATAAATATGAAAGACAAAATAGATCAGAATTTTATATTTAAAATCAAAATAAAAATCAAATGAGTTTTTATATTAAAGTCTGGAGGTAATAATTTACAACTTTTTATAATGATATCTATAATTCCAGTAAAGTCATTAACAAATATTAGTAAGCATATAACCTTTTGGGATTTTTTCAATATTCGTGGCGTGAATGACAATTTTTTTAAAGGTACTTACAACTCCATTAACCACATTTATCACATATTTTTTAAGTTCCTAAATGGAGATTTTTTCAACACTTGTAATATGATTGCCAACTTTTATAAAAATATTCACAACTTTATTAACATCATTAATCACATTATATGGCAGAGTTTTAAATTAATATTATTAATTTAATACATATTTTAATTTAATTAAATAAATGCATATTAAGTATAGAATGTCGTCAATGGTGTTAATATAGTTGGGAATATCATTATTACAAGGGTCTTCCATCGCTACCTTTTCTAAGTTTAAAAGGAGAATTGGATGACCAATAATGATATAACTAACCGAACAGCCATCAGATGTGCGTGGAAGCAAGAGATAAGAGAAATAAAATCTTGCTAATTGCCAACGCAAGAAGATTACAGCATAATTCACCCTAGAGCTTGGCCGATTTATGCTGAGAAAATAGCTACCCTCTTTGGTTACCCTATAGCATAATTCAACGAGGAGACAAATTGTGATCAGAAAGTAATGAAAACTTCATATCAATGACTGGAATGAATACATCAAAGGGATGTCATGGAACATGTCTTTTTCTCTAGAGTCGGTAACTACAAATGTTATTGTAAGGTACACATTTTCGACAGCACAAAACCTTGACCATTATCATGGTATAAAATAGCATACAACCGGTTCTCAGTCCTGACAATCCACTAAAGCTCAGGATGCAGGAAGGAAAAAAAAATGATGTTATTACCATATATACAGGGCCGCACAAGAAAACGATGGTGATAATGCAGATTAATATGAGAAGAACGTACTGCCACATGTTCCCCTTAGTACTAGCATTCAATCCAGTTTCAGCTTGACGATATCATGTGGTCTGGCCTGGTCTTGTACATGAAGACATTACATGCTAAACTATTGTTTATTGAACCACGTCCCTTTCCTAGCAAAACTCTTTACAAATGATCACATATAGCATCATCTAATTGGCTTTTATGAAGCTGAAATGCCGGGTTAACCTAGGCTCCACAGCTGCATTGCATACCTGCCCACTTGAAGCATAAATATAACCAACGTTACTCCATTATTGTTTGTTCATATCAGCTGATGTACCGCTGCGAGTAATATAATCTCCTTTCAGTCTTGCTTTTGCCTAGCTCTGTGAATTCCATTAGCATCTTCAAGGATTCCCCAAGAAATCTTGCCCTTTTCACATGCATAAACGATGTCGTTCAAATACATCAAGATGAAAATATTGCTGTTTTGTAAATGATCTTCCCCTTCCAACCTCTCAACCTTTTTCTCTCTTTCGTAATGGAACAAAGCGGCAAAGCAGGTTACCAAATCTTCACTCTTCAAAAGATACAATTTTGGTTTGCAACCGCTACTTGCCCTGCTTTTCGTCTTCTGTTCCAGAAGTAAAATCAATATCCATGACAATGGTTACTGCTCTTATACCTCAAGTTCCTCAGCTGGGCCTGATATCTCGAGGTTGTTCAATCCAGCTTCGCATAGAATTGTTGATTCTAGTGCAGTTTCACAAAGCGCGTTGTTGCCATCACATTCATTTGATCCTGAATAAGATGGGAGAGAAACAGGCGTCTGAGGCGGATATTTAGATCTTTAAATATCTCATTTTAAGCCCAGGTTGAGGTCAAAGGAAATTGAAAATCATAACAAAATCCAATATGTGGCTTACCATTAATTGTAGCATGCGTTTTCAGATCACACTAACTGGATAAAACAAGTCCACCGTAATTTTTTGGTCGAGAGCACCATGGATAAAACAAGTTTGAAAACCCTCTACAATCACTTACAAAAAGTGTTTTTATGCAAGCCGTCATACTTACCTTATATATCGTAAAATCACTTCTAAAAAGCTAATTTAAACACCCCTGTAAATCATATTATCTAACCTCTTGGTCTTCAAGATAAACAAAAGCCACATTCCTAGCTCCTCATGCAGCTATTCACTAATCTTTGGAACATATCCTTCTTGTTTCAGATCATCATAGAGCAAATAAAGAATTTCATAAATATCATTAGAATCTTGATGCAAACCATCACCTGCGAGAAACTCATGAAGTTGATTCTTGATCTCAATCCAGCTACAACCAGGAGTTTTAAAGATGCCCTTCTGTCTCATCAACATTCTCATCCTTGCAGAATCATCCCGCCTATTCGAATTTTCATATATTTTTGATGAAATAATATAGTTCCCAGAATTCTGAGGATCCAACTTCAGAAGCAGCTGCATAACCTGTTCGCCTATTTCTACATTTTTGAGCTTTCTGCAGGCACTAAGTACAGAACCCAACACAACCTTGTCTGGCTTTTCAGGCATTTTCTCGATGAGATCCCAGGCTTCATATAGATGGCCAGCACGTGCCAGAAGATCCACCATGCAAGAGTAGTGCTCAATTTTTGGAATCAATCCAAACAATGTGCTCATCATATCAAACAGTCTATAGCCTTCGTGGACAAGGCCTGCATGCACACATGCAGAAAGCAACCCAACAAATGTTATATCATTAGGCTGCACAGAGCCACCTTCTCCTGCCATGAGTTCAAACATCGACAGGGCTTCCTTGGCTTTACCATGAGACGCAAGAGCAGATATCATTGCATTCCAAGAAGCCTCATTTTTTCTGGGCATTTCATTAAAAACTTTCAGTGCATCCTCTAAACTCCCACACTTAGCATACATATCAATCAATGCAGTGGCTACAAAAATATCATATTGCCATCCCTTTTGTGAAGCATATTCATCAATATTTTTCCCCAAATCCAAAGCCCCAATGGAGGCACACGCTGACAGCACCGCTGATAGTGTGATTTTATTTGGATCAATATGTTCCTCTCTCATGCCATGAAATAGCATAATCGCTTCATCTGCCATTCCACTTTGAGCATATCTGTCACAATCAATTAGCAGAAAAATTAGATAGAAAAATTGAGATAAAAATTCACGATATTAATAAGAATAAAATGTTATCTCCATTTAGTCCAAGATGCATATCCATACACCACTGTGTAAGCTGATGCTCATGCAATGATTTTGGTTTACTTGTTCAGACAATGTTGCCAAAGTACTAGCAAGTCATTTGATGAGAATAAATCACATGAAGTCTGATATGAAAATGTGAATGACCAAATTGTTTGTTAGAAATAAGATAGAAGTAGAGAATAATCAAACCCAACCAAATGATAGAACTAATTAATGAACAAGTTTAATGACAATACTTACCCTGTTATCATGGCATTCCATGTGATGATATCTTTCTTAGCCATACTGTCAAATGTCCTTCTAGCAGATGCCAAATCACCACACTTTGCATACATACTAACTAAAGCAGAACCTATATAAGAGTTCACAGTCATTTTGTGTCTCACGACAAACTCTTCTACCAACCTCCCCAAATCTAAATTTCCTAGCTCTCCACAGGCGCCAAGAACGGAGACTAGAGTCATTTCATCAGGTTCAAACCCAGCATCCCTCAATTCCCCAAATAACTCCACTGCTTCCTTTGCATAACCCAGTTTTGAGTATCCTGAAATCAAGGAGTTCCATGAAACCAAATCTTTCTCACTAATTTCATCAAACACCTTTCGTGCATAACCCAGTTCATTACACCTGGCATACATGGTTATCAATGAATGACTTATGTAACTATCAATGTTTAACCCAAATTTAATCACAGATGATTGGGCGGCACGGCCATGATTAATCTCCAAAAGGTTAGCACAAGCAATGAAAAAAAACGGGAACGTGAAATTGTTGGGCTTTATGCCCAAGAACCTCATCTGGTAATAGAAGTGCAGAACAAGAGGGTACTCATGCCATGTGGTGGCTAACCCACGAATCATGACATTAAAGGCGTAGTCATTGGGTTCAGAGATTTGAGAGAAAAGAATAGAGGCGTAGGTGAAGTCTTTGAGGTCAATGCTTTTCGAAAGTAAATGGTTGGGTTTGTGAATTGAATTCACAATCATTTGGGCATGAATTTGTCGAAAGGGTTTAGTGAATGAACATTTTTTCAAAAGAGATAGCAGCTTTTCAGGAAGGAATTCTGAGTGACCTGGTAGTACAGGGGTGATTTCCAAACTGAGATGGCGGGAAAACAAGTGCGAGTGAGCTCGGGTTTTGAGCATTATCAATTGCTGAAGTTAAAATTGATCAGCAAGAGACAGAAACACAAAAGCTGATTGGGAAGCAATCAACTATACAGCCAGCATCACTTCCCAAAAAGAATATTTAGATACGTGAAACGAACCAGCAATATAGTTTTGCTAGAGATTCAAGTTAACCTGTTACAGCGTTAGTCTTATTGAGATGAGGAGGAGGGACAATTGTGTTCTCTGAACCGGAAGCAAAGTAGTTCCCAGTGCAACACAAAGCTACAAGAATGAAGAAGCGTCTCCACCATCCATTGATTGGTGTTTTTCGGCCGCCGCTTCAACACTTTCTCTCCACTATTCCCCGCCGTAGCCGAAAGCCCAATACCGAAGACGAATAGCCGGGACCCAGTAAAGCCCAATAATGTTACTTGAAAATACAAGTTCCGTTTTTCTGTTTCAGCCTAATGGCGCAGGTTCTGTTAGAAGCCGCCTTAAGAGCAAGAAAAGGTGCTTGCTATGCCCATATGAAACTAATGAGACTCTTCCGACTTCGGGAGACAAGACCAATTAAGGCGCGCGAGCTTAAGCTCACGGGCTCAGACGGCCGGCAAACCATATATTTTCAAAGAAACAAAAATAAAATAATAAAATTTACTTAATTACAATTGAGGTTTAGTCAAGGGAGAATTAACGTGAGATCTAAAAAAACGAAGATAATTATTAAAAAATCTTAATAACAAGTGAGCAGTTGGATTTGAGTAGATTGAAAAAGGAGATACAGTCTTGGCAAATATGGTACTTTAGGTTCTTTAAATTTTGTATATGACGTAGCTATAGAAATCAATGCTGCTACTTATGTATCTTTTAGAAGTTGGTTAGCTGCCTCCTATTTTATTCTAGGATTTTTCTTTTTTGTAGGTCATTTACAGCACATAGGAAGAGCTCGCGCAGCTGCAACATGATTTGAAAAAGGCATTGATAGGGATTTTGAACATGTTCTTTCCATGACTCCTCTTAATTGAGACATGAGATCTAATGTTTGAAATAGGAATAATTTTTATTTCACCATATATGTTGAGTTGAGTGGAGCATGTCATATTAAAAAAGTACTCCATTTTCTTCTCTTTTCAACTCATTTATGTGTAATCTTTTTGTTTTTGGGCTCGACTATACCACTACATAGTTAAGCCATTCCTTTTAGAAAATCAACTGAGCCAATCAAAACTAATAAAACAAAAAAAAAATCCATTCACCGAGCAAAAAGAGAAAGAAGGATTTGAATTCTTGATAGTTCTTTGTTTTGAATTATACTGGTTTTTAAGACCAAAGCTATCAACTCCTCAGTCATCTCTCTGAAAGATTATTTCTATTTTATCATATTCCACCGAATAGAACATGACCATATGAGTTGATATCCTTCGTATAGATGGGAAAGATATTCCCTATGAGGCTATTTTTTATCTACATATGCGTGTGTGCAGGATTCAGCATGCCCTTTTATCAAGTGAAAAAGAAAAATACCCTTGATCCATGCCCAAAAAGGGGTGGTAATTGGACATTCATGGTAAAACCCCCTGTGATACATTTTTTTATTACAAATTTGCTGTCAACAAAGGGATCAAATGGTTTGATAAGGCATCAAATGGTATAGTTCTTTTGTTAATAAATTGGAGGAATAGACACATGACTATTACTCTTCTAATCCTATTTATAAGGTATTTTTAACATGTTTTACACAGACTAAGAAAAACCTTAAACTGTATTAATTCTTCATTAAAATATAGCAACTTTTCAACTTTACCTCTATTTAATATATACACCTTTCAAAAAAAAATAATTATCTACATTATAATAAATGAAGGGCAATATGGTACATTCATCGTAAAAATTTAATGAAGTAACTTATAAATAGGACAAAAAAAATCTTCTCTCTTTATCCTATAAATAAGACTAGAGGAGTGCTTTTCAATTGGCTATTTTTGCATTAATTGTTGTTTTATCAATTTTACTGATTGGTGTACTTGTTGTATTTGCCTTTCTTAATGGTTGGTTTAGTAACAAAAATGTTTATATTTTCTGATACATCATTATGGATTGGGTTAGGCTTTCTAGCAGGTAAGTTCTTATTTCCTATTTAGGAACTTGTCAATATAAGCTGCCAGTTATATGGGACTTTTTTGTAAATATATTTCTTCTTTAAAATGTCATTGCGATTCTCCCTTTAATCAAAGACAGGTTTTTTTTTTTTTTTGGGTCTGAACTCAAAGATAAAAAGGTTATACCCCAGCAACAGAACGCATCCAATTAGTCAGTAACATATAAATTCGATTTTACCATTATTCATGAGGTCCTAAGAAATAGCATTATCCATAAACTAAACACTGATTAAATGCTCACGGCAAAAATTTAAGTGCAATTAACAAGCAACACTAATTCAACTTATGAATTACATGAACTGATGAACAAAAATATCAATATCAAAGCGGACCTAAATATAAGACTTTTGTTTTAAATTTTTTTCTCAAAATATCTCTATTGATATAAAAAGTTTCGACCAAGAAGTGGTTTTAATTCACATGATTAACGAATGTAGTTTGAAAAAAAGTAACATATATTTGCACCAATAAATTTTAATGGTTGGTTTAGTAACAAAAATGTTTGTATTTTCTGATACATCATTATGGATTGGATTAGTCTTTCTAGCAGGTAAGTTCTTATTCCCTATTTAGGAACTTGTCAATATAAGCTGCCAGTTATATGGGACTTTTTTGTAAATATATTTCTACTTTAAAATGTCATTGCGATTCTCCCTTTAATCAAAGACAGGTTTTTTCTTTTTTGGGTCTGAACTCAAAGATAAAAAGGTTATACCCCAGCAACAGAACGCATCCAATTAGTCAGTAACATATAAATTCGATTTTACCATTATTCATGAGGTCCCAAGAAATAGCATTATCCATAAACTAAACACTGATTAAATGCTCACGGCAAAAATTTAAGTGCAATTAACAAGCAACACTAATTCAACTTATGAATTACATGAACTGATGAACAAAAATATCAATATCAAAGCGGACCTAAATATATTTAAATCACAAGATGTAATAATCATCACGATAATTCATACATGATCAGTAAGAAATCTTCAAATCATAGATTAATGAAAGAGAAAGGAATGAAAATGAATTCAGAATCCGTAACAAGCATATATATCTGTGTGTGTGCGCGCGCGCGTGAGTGTGTGTGTGACCAAGACCTATGGATTGCACTGAATTGGATTGACTTGAACAGAAAGGAAAATCAAACTCCTCTCTCAAGCTTCAAGGCTCACACTGATCAAATCCATGCTTTCAGCAGCTAACCTTCCTGTCTTATCATGTATCAAGCTACCACAAAAAGTCCATGATAAAGCGGATAGCCTATGTCTTGATTTTTTCTAGGGATCCAATGGGAACAAGAATCATATTCACCTAAAGAATAAAAACTCTCTCTTTCAACCAGTTGACCATGGTGGCTTCGGGTTAAGACCAAACAAACGCATTAACCAGTCTCTTTTAGCTAAAAATGTGTTGCAAATACTTACTCTTGAGCCACCAAATTGGTTTGCTCCAACTTTGGAGGTCAAATATGTTGATTTTTATCAAAAGAATTTGCCATTGAAACCTTAAAATGCATCTTGGATCTGGAATGGGCTTCTGGAAAACTCTAGCCTCATATTCCTTTAAATCATTACCTTTGGTGGCCTATGCATTCAAGTTCCACTTTAGTATTTAATTTACTAAAGGTCAAAGATTTCATAATGCATAATTCTTTCAATTAGAATCCTTACCGTTGGAACTTACCTCTACTCAGAACTTTGCATCCTAGTCAGGTTAAAATCTACATTAATGCAGTTATCACAAGATAACTTTGATTTTCTTCTGAAGAGAATTATAATCTTGGTAATGATATTTCTATTGCTGTGAAAGGTTGGTCTGTTTTATTGCAAAAGAAGAAAATTAAGAAGGAGGTGACAATGCTTGTCACTGTCTTACATCAGGGAAAGCCAGTCCAGGAGTTCAATTGTAAATGAAAATTTGCTGATCCGCAGAGCTTCAACGGGCCGTAATGCGTAAGGAATGTTCTCATCTGGATTGTGAGCAATAGCAAATAGGTACAAGAAGCTACACCTCACTTACAATTGATTTGCTGCTGTAAGATGTACTTCTAATATCTTAAATGTAAGATTTATTTTGTAGTGTAAGTACATTTAAGACCAGATGAGTGGTTTGTGGATCTAAGATGAATTCAAGGGAGTGCAGAAAGCGCGTTAGGTAATGAGATCAAGGAATTCCAGGTATTTTCCCCAGTGTTTCTGTTTTGGGGGTGTTTGGGTGATTGCCCAAATCATGGTTTGGGAAAAAATTACCCAAACACCCATCAATTTTTTGAAACCATGGTTTACTTATCAAAACCAAGGTTTTGTAATAAGCAAAAAAAATTTGCTTTTTGAACAGTTCTCCCCCTACCCCCTACAGTATTTTTTTTTGGTTGAAAACAATTATTTATTTTTCTAAAAACATAATCTTATATTTTATAATTATATATACACATATTAACAATTACTACATCATGTCTTTAATATAAGACATCATTTGACTTTTATTTGGTCCTAAATATAAAACCTCAATCTACTTTATTTCTCATATTTGTCTATCTTTTTTCAAGTTATAACCAATAAACTTGATTAATAGGGATATTGTAGGAAAAGCAACACCTGTTTATTACAAATAACTAACTTAACTTATTTTTTTAATCTACTCAAATTAGTCAACTAACTCTTACATTTAGAACTGGATATAGTAATTAATATATGTTTTTATACATTGTTTATTATGTTGGCAAAAAAAATTAATAAATTTATTATTCCAATCTTTAATGTAGAACCTAATTGGAGAGTTAATATTGGTCTTAAATGTAAGATTATTATTCCGATCATTAATGTAAAACCTAATTGGAGAGTTAATATGTAGACAAGGTCTTAATACCTTCATCAATAGAATCTTCATCTCACATGGCTCGGTTTCGTGACTCCATAAGAGATCAAATTGTTTACTATATACAAGAATAGTCATGTCCTTTTTATTTTCTTTTTTCTTTTCAGATAATGTAATGTGTTGTTAAAAAAACTACTTGGACAAATATATTTCGTTGCAACCTCTATTATTAAGACAATTAATATGAAAATTTTTTTTGTGGTTATTTAATTTTGTGAAAAAAAATTATGGGATTTCATTTTTAAAATTTTTAAGAAATAATAATATTTTTTTTACAAAATAAATCATTTTCCTAAAAACATATTTAATTATTTTATTAAAATATATACACATTAATTTTTTATTATTTATATTATATATGCCTTATTTATTATGTTGTCAAAATATATATTATTAACAAATTTATTACTTCAAATAAACATATATTATGAAATATATCTTATATGTAATTATCATTTAAACTTATGTTCTTTTTAGTAATTTCTACATATCAAAAAGCACTTTTGACAACAATTATCCAAACACTCTCACTTTATCAGAATCACTTTTTTAGAAAATCTATTTTTTTAAAATCTATTCTCTTCAAAATCTAGGGGGTGTTTGGCAAATGGGCCAAAAGTGATTCTGGGCTCCAAACCTTGGTTTAGAAAATAAGATTGCCAAACACCCCTTTTTTTTTTAAAACCTTGGTTTCTGCCAAAACCTTGGTTTTGGCCAGCAAAACCAAGGTTTTCGATGAAGCAAAAAATTGTCGCTTCTCATGCGAACTGATCGATGGAGCTAATAATTGGAGCAGTCAGAAGCTCCAACGGCGACCTTGACCACTCTGCCTCTTCTCCCATTTCACCGAAATACTCTGCCTCTTCTCCCATTCCACCCGTCGCCGACCGACCGAAATACTCTGCCTCTTCTCCTATTCCACCCGTTGTCTTCGACCGAACTTCTAGCCCCAGGTGAGATCGTGTTGAGCTCGTGATTTTCGGCCCTGGTGAGGTGTTTACCAGCTTCGCAACACAAGATCCCGTGCTGAGTTCCCCGATCGATTCATCCATTCTGATAGCTGCGTTTTTCAGTTCGTCCAGTCGGCATGTTTTCCATGAGCGAGGCATCCTTACCGGTAAGAAAAATATATTTTATCCCAAGAAAAAAGCATATCTATCGGATCCCATTCGTTTGCCGTCGACGTGTCTGAAATTTCGACCGAACTTCTGGCCACAGGTGAGATGGTTGTGAGCTCGTGAATTTCGGCCTTGGTGAGGTGTTTAGCAGTTTGGCAACAGAAGATCTCGTGCTGGGTTGGCTGATCCATTCTTCCATTTCTGATAGCTGCAGTGTGCGTTTCGTCCAGTCAGGTAATTTCTCCCCTTCATTTGTGATCTGATGCAATGAAGTATCAATTTTGGCTTCATAAAATAAAAGTGTGTCCAAGCGAGTCCGGTCCCCTTTTTCTTGTTCGTGTTTTCCATGAGGAGGCATCTTCTTCACGCCTTTGAGCTGGACACCGGAAAAAATAAAACAGGGGAGACAGTCGAACGGAAAAATATAAAACAGGACACCGGCGGTAATGGGTAATCGGACTCCACCGAGGAATGGATCAGATAAATGAACGCGCCGTCTCCTTCATGCATTTGCGTTGGTGTTGGGGGCGGCTTATTAGTATTATAAATATGTTTAGGATTTTCCTGATTATTTGAGATTTTTATCTCTATTTCGTTACTTAGCAGGACTTTTTATTTTCACTGATTCTGAAATAAAAGCTGGTACTACAAGAAATGAAATATCTAGGATGGTTATCCTGTGGCAGTGTTTGGTTTTCAACTGTGTTTATTTCTTGATGATGTTAAATGACCCACAATGTCTCAAAAAGCAAACATGCTAAATGAAGTCATATTTTCGGTCTTGCTTTCATTGTAGCATATGGATTCCTGCTTCTATGGTTTACATAACAGTATAACACTTTTGGTTGAGTAAGATCCTTTGGTTGAAGTCAAACGGGCCTTGATGATGCCCCTCATACTCAAACTTGTTAAATACTATACTTGTTATATCATATCTCTTGGACTGAATGGCATGCTTTTTGGGTTGAACTTGTGATGACTAAAGTGTTGTAATTGGTCTATAGTATAATGAGTAAACAAACTGGCAAAGCTTCATGGGATATAAGAACCACAAAGGTTTTTATTGACCTGTGCATTGAAGAAGTTGGAAAAGGGGGAAGAAAAGGAACTAGCTTGACAAAACCTGCTTGGACAAGTCTTGTGGACAGCTTCACTGCAAAGACTGGGAGAGTCTATACGAGAATCCAATTGAAAAACAAATATGATACCCTGCGAAAGGAGTGGCAGTTATGGGATAGGCTGCTCCGTGAGACCGGTTTAGGATGGGATGCCGAAAGGAATACTGTTAGTGCCCCTGATGAATGGTGGGAGAAGAAAATAGTGGTAATGGTTTAACTTTATTTGAGTTTATATTTTCTCACATGTTAACATTTTTTGTATAATGTATTATATTTTTGGTGTTGAATGCGCAGGAAGTTCCTGGCTACGAGAAATTTAGAGAAAGAGGGCTTCAGTTTCAGGCTGAATTGACTCAACTCTTTGGGTCTGTAGCTGCAACTGGACCACAGTCATGGGCACCTTCTTCCATGACACTTCCAAGCGAAGGAGTTCCTAAAGATGATATGGAAGAAGGGTCTGGAGATAGTGATGAACTTTTAGGAGCACCAACTGGCATAAGCGGGGAGTTTAATTCGGTCACATTCAATGACAATAGTGGAGGAAGTGGAGGCAACACTGGGATGAGACAGGAAACCATTCGTGGGGGTAGAAGCACAGGTGGCAGTCGACCTAGTAGCTCATTAGGGGTTAGAAAAAAGGTGAATCCATGAAGAAGAAACCCACTACCACTATGAAAATAGCAGATGCACTAAGCAGGATAGCTCAAGCAAATGAAAATGACTCTCAGCGTGAACATGAAGAGATTTCAGAAGCACGTGCTAGGAAGGCAGAAGAAGAAGCACGTGCTTATGAGACGTCAATTGCCGGAGTCATGGAGCACCTTAATGAAGTTGATGAAGTTACTGATGATCCTGATCTGTTTGGCCGGTGCACAACACTCCTCATGGACAAGCCAGCTGCAAGGGAGATGTATGTGGCTCTGAAGAACAAGAGGGAAAAACTCCTGATCTTCTTGAAGCATGCAACCAAGGATTGAGACTTCATTTGTGTTGCTTATCATAGTATTTGACTACTTTTTATGTTGCTTAGAAGATGACTGTGATAATTTGTGTATATTTTTAGGAATTATGTAACCAGCACTATTGTATTATGTGACTTTCAAATTCTGTAGGAATTAAAGAACTTATTTTCTTGTTAAATGTTTAGTAGTTTCATATCAAGGTTTCTAAATTTTATGTCTATGTGCACAGGACAAGACAAAAAATGGCTGATGAAATTAAAATTGCGGAAAAGTATCGTAAACGACGGAACAAACGGGTTAATCAAGTTGCAGTAGCGGTTGGTGGATATGCTTCTCTTCATTTGTGTAAAGAGCCCCAGCATACAAGTATTTATACAGGTAAGGCATGGGTAAGGGATGTTTTACAAGGCCATTCCACCCGTTGTTATAATATGTTTAGGATGGAAAGGGAAGTGTTTTTCAGTCTTTGCACCGAATTGCAACAACACGGTCTAAGGGAAACTAGAAATGTTGGGATACATGAAATGGTTGCAATGTTTTTAAATACTGTTGGCCATGCGCTTAGTAGTAGGATGCAGCAAGAGAGATTCCAACATTCAGGGGAGACAATTAGTAGACATTTTCATAATGTCTTATTGACATGCTGTAGACTTGCTATGTCCAATATCAAACCAAAAGATCCAACATTTCAGCATTTGCATACAAAAATACGACCCGGTGGTCGATACTGGCCCTTTTTCAAACATGCTATTGGAGCAATTGATGGAACACATATTTCATGCATTGTTGATGTAACTGAGCAAACAAAATTTATTAATCGAAAAGGAAGAGTGACGCAAAATGTAATGGCGGTTTGTGATTGGGACATGTGCTTCACTTTTGTATTGGCCGGATGGGAAGGTAGTGCACATGATGCTCGTATATTTGACCACGCCCTCACAACTCCTTCCATGAACTTTCCCCATCCGCCTCAAGGTATATTTTAAATTGCTACAATTTAATTTATTTATGCTTAACTATTAGAAAACAAAGTTTATTAACACCAATCATATATTTCATGTAGGCAAATATTATTTGGTCGATGCTGGCTATCCGACACCCATGGGATATCTTGGTCCCTACAGACGTGAACGCTACCATCTCCCTGATTTTCGAAGGTCATCTGCATTTGAAAATGACAATGAGGCGTTCAATTATTTGCACTCAAGTCTACGGAGCACTATTGAAAGAACTTTTGGAGTTTGGAAGAGTAAGTTTGCAATTTTAGAAAACATGCCAAGCTATGACTTTCCAACACAGGTTCAAATTGTTTGTGCAACGATGGCCATACATAACTTCATTAGATCAACATCCATTTCTGATCCTGGTTTCACTCAATTTGAACAAGAAGGTTCTTATGCAGAAGAAAATAATGATGATGATGGAGTTGGATCTTCACATATACCTTCATCAATAGAATCTTCATCTCACATGGCTCGACTTCGTGACTCAATTAGAGATCAAATTGTTCACTATATACGAGAATAGTCATGTCCTTTTTATTTCCTTTTTTCTTTTCAGATAATATAATGTGTTGTTAGAAAAAAAGAGTACTTGGACAAATATATTTCGTTGCAACCTCTATTATGAAGACAATTGATATGAAATTTTTGTGTGTGGTTCTTTAATTCTGTCAAAAAAAAATTATGGGATTTCTTCATCTTTAAAATCTTTAAGAAATAATCATATTTTTTTGTTGGCAAAATAAATTATTTTACGAAAAACATATTTAATTATTTTATTAATATATATACGTTTTAATTTTAATTATTTTATTAATATATATTATTTATTAATATATATACATATTTAATTATTTTATTAAATTATTTTGCAAAAAAATATTTATTTATTTTATTAATATATATACGTATTATTTTTTTATTAATATTTTTTATTTATTTCAAATTAACATATATTATGCAATATATCTTATATGTAATTATCATTTAAGCTTATGTCCTTTTTAGTAATTTTTACATATAAAAAAGCACTTCTGACAATAACTATCCAAACACTCTTACTTTATCAGAATCACTTTTTCAGAAAAGCTATTCTTTCAAAATCTATTCTCTCCAGAATCTATTCTCCAGAAGCTATTCTTCAAACCATGGTTTGAGGTTATCCAAACACCCCCTAGTCTCCAGAAACTAATCTCCAAACCATGGTTTTGCCTCATCCAAACACCCCTTTAATTTGCTCTGATTGTAGTTTTTTTCCCCAGTTTTAGACTTTCCCCGTTTCCTATTATTATTTGCTCATTGTAAGACCTTTATTATTTAATCCTATCATTTTGTCTTTTTTATATTAGAAAAACATCTTTAGGAGGAGGATTAGGGATTTAAGGGGGGGAAGTAATAAAGTTAAAAATTATAATATCTCAAGAAGAGACAAGATCAAGACACCCTATTTCATGTCATACTTCGTCTGGTCCCAAGGCAAAAATTGTCCTATCCTGTTTCAACATCAGAACGAGACAAAATAAACACCTCTTAATTTAGACGACTAGATAAATGGATTAAATGTAATGTAGACGGATTTGTTATGGAAGGACAAAATATTGCAGTGTGTGTGGAGACATGCCTAGGATCGCAGGTGGAGAATGGATTGGACGCTAAAGAAACTAGAGAATGGGCTTTACTGCTTGAGATCTTGGCTTAAAGAGTACTGCTATTATTTCTGAATTTGATTCGAAATTGCTCGCTGATTAACTTAATAACGACACGGTATCCGAGTTTGTGTTTTCCTCAGTTTGAGTTTGTATGAAAGAGATGATGCCACATGACTGGTTTGTTCATGCTCAGTATACTTCTAGAACATCAAGTGCGTATGGTTACTGATATTAGTGCAGAGCACAGTCTTTGTAGGACTTAGGCCCTCTCTTTGTTATAATAAATACTATTACTACAGCTTGTCTCTAATGTAACAACTAGTTGTAGGACTAGATTTGATTTTAAATATAAGATCTTAATATACTTTGTTTTAAATTTTTTCTCAAAATATCTCTATTGATGTAAAAAGTTTCGACCAAGAGGTGGTTTTAATTCATATGATTAAAGAATGTAATTTAGAAAAAGTAACATACATTTGCACCAATAACTAATTTAACTAACTGTTTTAATTTATTTGAATTAAAACGTGGCGAGGCAGTTGTGCAAAGACAATATTCAAATTTCAACAACTAAAATCATTAGGCCCTCTTTTTGTTATAATAAAAACTGTTACTACATCTGATTTTTAATATAAGAACTAGTTGTAGGACTTGTTTGATTTTAAGTATAAAATCTCAATATACTTCGTTTTAAATTTTTTCTCAAAATATCTCTATTGATGTAATAAGTTTCTACAAAGAGGTAGTTTCAATTCATATGATTAAAAATAATAGTTTAGAAAAACCAATATATATTGGCACAGATAACTAATTAACAAAGTTTTTTAATTTATTTAAATTAAAACGTGGAAAGCCAGTCATGCAAAGACAATATTCAAATTTCAACAACTAAAATCATTAAAAATGATGGGAAATTATGACTGTTGAAGACTATAGTAATGTAAGGGTGGTTGGCTTTCATGATGCATCATTCGAAGGATAACAAAAAAACAAACCTTGGTCTTTGAGTTCTGAAGAGAAGACTAGAGTATGGATGGTTACGGATGTTAATGCAAGGCGGACTCAGGCCCACTTTTTATTATACTACCTCTACTTTTAAAATAAAAACTAGTTGATTAATTTAAATAGATTAAAAAAATTAGTTAAGTTGGTTATTTGTAATAAGTAGGTATTGTCTTTTTAAAAATATCTTTACTAATCAGATGTATTAACTAAAATTATTATTATCACAAAGATTATCTTAAATAAATAAATAGAAAAGACAAAATATATTGAAATCTTATATTTAAAATCAAAATAAAAGTAAAAAAATTTCTATATTAAGGACCAGAGGTAGTAATAAAAACTATTACTACCTACCATCTTTAATATAAGAGTTAGTTATAGGATTATATTTGGTTTTAAATATAAGATCTCGATATATTATGTTTCAAATTTTTTCCTAAAATATTTATATTGATGTAAGAATTTTTTATGAAGAAGTAATTTCAATTCACATGATTAAATAAGACAGTTTTACACAAATAACTAACTTAACTATTTTTTTAATTTATTTAAATTAAAACATGGAAAGGCAGTTGTCCAAAAACAATATCCAGGAGGTGTTTGGGTAGGAGCAAAACAATGGTTTTAAAAGTGCTTTTATAGTATATGAAGTAAATATATAGAAGAATTTGTCTCGATTTATGAAAAATATCCCAAACACCCCTTCAAATTTCAACAACAAAAATCATTAGGCCCTCTCTTTGTTATAATAAAAACTATTACTATCTTGTCTTTAATATACGAACTGATAGTAGAATTATATTTGATTCTAAATATAAGACTTCAATTTACTTCATTTAAAAAATTTTGAAAAATTTTTTGTTGATGTAAGAAGTTTCTATCAAGAGATAGTTTCAATTTACATTATTAAAGAGAGTAGTTTAAGAAAACCAACATATATTTACACAAATAACTAACTCAACTAATTTTTTTAATTTATTTAAATTAAACCGTGAAAAGGCCGGTGTCCAAAGACAACATTGAAATTTCAACAA